TGAAAAAACAAAAACAAGCAATTATGCCGATTAATCTCAAATAATTATTGATAGAAGAAGGCTTCGTATCGAGCTCGCCAGGGTGTCTTAAAATCTTGCAGGCACATCTGCCGAGGATAATCAAGCCGCAATGGGCGAGGAAATGTCAGCAGCTTTTCTAATGGTATTTCGGTGCCGGTTGTTTCGACTCGTCGAGAGCGAGAACTGCGACCATCTCTGCACTGCCGCGCGACAGTTTTCTCCACAATTCGATCTCGCTATGTATTTTTACGTACTTTTCTTTCTTCAACTTTCTGTCTTTGAAGAGAAGGTCCTAGTGTAGGAAAATCTCTTGGAGATATAATATAGATTGAGTCCTTGTAAGCGAGCAGCTTACAAGTGTCGAACTTTTATTAGGCCTCTTTCTCTCTCTCTCTCTCTCTCTCTCTCTCTCTCCCTCTCTCTTTCTCTCTCTCTCTCTCTCTCAAAAACATCTGCGATCTTTACATTTGGCTGGTAACAAATTTTTTGTTAACGCTTGTGGCATTTTTGTTAACGCTTAATTAGAAGTAATTTTATCAAATTATATTATCATTATATAACAGCTCTGAATTGTTAATATCCGATTATTAACTGTACTTGAAAATTAACTTAAAGAGTGTAAAATTACAATTACATTTGCATTCGCGAGCGTAAGACCGCAGCACTAAAGTTATGTATTTGTGTATTTTTACTACCCAATCATCCTAGTTATATTTTAAGTAAATCATAAGCTTACGCTAAAATGATATAAGTTTCCTATTGACATGTACATATTAACGTAGAGTAACGTGTAATACGCATTATCTATTTAAAAAATTTCCAAGTCTTATGATCGTAATCTTGACAATGAAAAAGTTGTAAATACATCTACGTAATTCACACCCAACTGCCACATACATTTGACGATTAATAATTTAATTTCAATATTAATATTGAAGTATTTGCGATATCAAACGGAATTTTAATTAAAGCAAATGCATTATGTACTTGAACTTGATATTCCGTATTCGAGAGAAGTGAAAAAAAAAATTATAATTCTGTAGGATGTAATTTTTTTAAAATATAATCTACATCTTTGCTTATCAATCAATAACAGTTTCAACTTTATAGAATTAATATATTACTTAAACTATATAATATTTAAATATGCCGCGATGGCATAGATGTATCGCGCACACTTGTAACCACAAATTCATAATAGAGAAAGACAGAAGCTGAACAACAGCGAAGCTCGAGTCCTACTCGGTAATTGATGTTTATGCCTCGAGTAACCTTTAAAATTGCCATTTTCTCTTTTTTCCTAACCGCTGTACATTGGGCTTCATATGGATTATGAGAGTTTCTATTCAATCGAACCTCGCATCTCCCTTTATGACGTCCACAATTTGCTCTTTCACTCTTCCCCTAGTGTTTACTCTCTATGCTGCATCTCTCTCTCTCTCTCTCTCTCTCTCTCTCTTTCTCTCTCTCTCTCTCTCTCTCTCTCTATAAATCTCCGCGTGCATTTATTGAAAAAAATTAATAAATGTGTATACATAAAATACATGTGTTAAATTCGTTGCAAATTGAAATCCTCATACTTTGCAATAATTAAATATAGATATTCTGTGTGTCCGTGTGTAGATGTGTATTGTATATTGTGTATCGCGTATTTATCTATCTATGTATATATGTCCAAATAATTTCAATTGTTGAAAGACGAATACATGGAAAAGTAGGTCGACAAGTTGCAACTCCAAACATTTATAAATCCACACGCTCTTTTAGTCGAGTGTTACGGCCCAACCGCAATTATTACGGCTATCTAAAGGACCGTATTTTAATGAGAAATACTTTTTAATGTTTCACTCACTTTAATAGGCAATAAGAGAAATAAAAAATAAAAAATAAAAGCAAGAAAAATCGTTTGCGATACCATAAATCGAACAATAATACTATTAATCAAAGGGCTGTTAAATTTTTTAATAAGAAGTATTTTAATACGGAATGTCCAATCATTTTTCTTCATATGTTAAATTATCAGCATGAAGCCATTGCGCTCTATGTCACTCAATTCGATGACAATCTCATTTTACCGAAGCGATTCTTGAACAATCCATTACATTGAATACATTGATTTTCGGATTACTTAATCGACAGGTCGTATTATCTATTCGAGCTGAAATTACTATTCTAAACATCTGTGTTTGAAATTACTATAAATCTTTTGCAGTGTATCGTCTTATAATATGTAAAGAAAAGAAAAAAAAACATGATCAAATTTCTAAATACATTAATAAATCTAATTTAAAGTAATTGGAATCAATACTATGAATGAAAAAGTAATTGCCTCTATTCAGTGATGTTGGTAATTGTTGGATTTCTTAAAAATACATATTATTAATAGTATAAATACTTCTTTTTTTTTTATTAATGCGAAATAATCCAATTAATTTAAATCAAATTTATATATATAACAAACGTAGTATAAAAAAAAAAACTACGATTGCTAATATCATTTATTTGTACCAGATGCTCCTGCAGTTCATGCAAAGCTCAATCCGACGTTCGATGGTTAGCAATAAAGTTTTTATCTGGATCAGTTTTGAAAAGTTCAACTATTGCTTGCTACATCGGAAAATTGATTTTTGTTCTTCATTCAACTCCGATATATCAGATTATAATCGGCACAAAAGACGTACGGAATAGCTTCAATCCATCAATCTTAATTATATTAGTTTTTAATACAATATTAATCATCTAGATTTCTTAGATTATTTATTTACTGAATCATTGCTCTATTAATTACAAAGCATTTTTGTAGCTAAGTATTAATGTATCATTTCGTAAAAGAATGTATATATCATGTATACTCACTGTATAGATCGATGTCTTGAAAATATTTGATCCCTTCATTTATAATAGAAACACTTAGGAACGAAACACCAATCCCATGTGAAACAACAAATGCTGAAGAAGCATCGTCACTTTCTAACAAAAATTTAAAAAGTACTTCTTAATAATTTGCGTAGGACCGATTAGATATACCGTTTATGAACTTAATGAAAATTCAAAAGTCTCATTGATAAAAGTGCAATAGTAAAATAATTTTAAAAAGTACGTAATATTGAAATTTCCTTACCTTTACAAATTAAAGAATTGAAAAATTTTACTTCACTGCTTTGTTTAATATAAATTTTATTACTATCTTACACACATGCGTGTGTATAATGTACTATTCCTAATGTACCCTTTTGTCTCTCTCTCTCTCTCTCTCTCTCTCTCTCTCTCACACACTCTCTCGCATTATATATATATATATATATATATTGTAACTAAGATACGATGAATATAATGTTTAAAACTATGAGCTCATAAAATTTATGAAAGTATACATACGTTTGTAAAAACGCAAAAGAATAACAACAACAGCAACAACAAAAAAGGCAAAAAATGAGATTGATTCATGGCGACATTAACGGCGTTAAAAAGCTATTCGGTTGATAAATACAATCGTAAGGAGCTTATTGAAACATGTTTTTGAATTATTTAGCTGCTAATTTAGGAAATAAGCATAAATGAATTATATGAAAACCGGTATTTATCAAATGGTAGGCATAAATCGGTATTTGAGGACAGTCTTGACAGAAGAGTCAATGCAAATGATACAAAGATGCGAGAGCTTTTATAGAGACTCGGAGGACATTGTGATCCCGCAATGTGTATGGATTTGTCAGACGCGCCAACAGGAAATGAACTCAAGCCCCAACCATGTTTAATGCGGTCATTATCATTGCGTATTATTTATCGTACTTGTAATTCATACGAGTTCGCGCCGTACGGTTGACCGGACCACCACCAGCAGTAATAAGAACCTTCCTCCATATGTGCATTCGACAACACAGTTACGGACTACGTAGTGTACATGAATATTCAATTGAACAGACTCGTGTTTCGCCACGGATTTTCTTTTTTACTCTCGCGCTGTTTGTGGAGCTTCCGTTCCCCTTTTTTGCTAAAAGTGGCGAATAGAGTGAATAAAGTGGCATTGGCAGTTTGACTCGTTTGTCGAAAGTCAATGTACTTTCTTAGCAAATATTATTCTAATGGATGACTGACTGGCTGGCTTGTGCTCAACAAAAGTCAAAAGTAACGATGGCAAATGACCGATGCAGGAGGATTATTTATTCGTCGCTTTGATTATACAATCGCGAACCACGCAATGTTGTTAAATTATTTCGCTGATCGTTCGTTACGTGCACAGACCCAGTGGTATTGAATGCAAACGTAACGCGTTAATAAAAAGACGCTAATGTGACGTATGTATACATTTTTATCGCTTATTCATGCTATCGAGGATGAAAAAGTATTAGAAATTTCTTGGTCAACGGGCGACAACGTTTCCTGTCTACTTTACAATCAAGTTTATTTATAAAATCTTAAAAAACTTAACTCGATTACTCATTATAACCATAGCCTGGCTAATGTTAAATTTCTCTTTTATTTTTCATGTTTTTTTTTCCTTTTTATCCTTTTTAATCGTGAGGTAAGGGAAGAAACTTTTAATGGCTCGCGTCAAAATTGCCTCTTCTTATCGATTCTATCGACTCTTTTGTCGACTCTTGTTCTTAATTACGCATGCCGCCTTTGGTTTCAAATTCCATGCGTTTAGCTGGAAAGTTAGCCGAGTTGTTGAGCCGTTATTTCATTATTTCAACATTATCTCACAGTAATATAATGGAAACGTTATTGATGAAGACGCTTTATGATTTTTGAGAGTACGATAATCGAATGATAAGTCTTCCATCGACATCCGTACTTTATCAACGACAGGCCAAATGTTGACCAATAATAAACAACAGCCGCAGCAGCTACACAAATTCCCTACGTAAAGTCGCACGATCCGTATGTGGACGATCGATATGTCAAATGTATTGTTAATAAGATAAATGCATACTAATCATAACTGTTTAAAATTAATGTCTTGATAATGATTATAGGAGGTTACGAAAACGGTGAAAACATAAATAGTCAGTCGCTCCCGATCCCCAATCAGAAAAACGGTAAAGATAAGAAGAATCTTTGTAGCGAGTAGTCGGAATATTAGTGAACAGAGATGCTAAAGCAGATATGTTTTAGGTGGGCAACGAACGGTGCACGTGCTGCACAATTCCGAGCAGCCGGCCTCGGTCTTCGCGATCCTCGAGTACGGCAACAAGGTGGTGCCCCTGATAGCGGACAGGCTCTTCGATCTCGTCATTCTCAAGATGACGAACGTCTGCACGGACAAGAAGCAGACAAAGATCGAGTGCAAGGGGCCGCGATTCGAGCTCGTCGACTTCTGCATCAAACTCGGCAGCGTCACCATGACGCAGAACTTCAAAGGAGTTTTGGTGGAGGTGAGTTGGCGCCGGCTTACTCGACCCTTCTCCCATCTCCGTTCCTCTCTCCTTCTTAGCGTACCGTTACGAAGGGATTCTTATCTCAGCCCAGCCGTGGATCTCACCCGTACACCAATGCAATGCCATTATGGACCAACGATCGATTCACCATTACGACATTTCCATTATCTCGCTGGCTTATTATATGTATATGGCTTTTTAGCACCGTATTGGCTGGTGGAAAGTGCGACTATTGGTCAACGTTCAATTTTATGTGTGCGCGCGCTTGCGCATGTATGTCTAAAGCGATGTGCGTAACTTCTTTTTGCCTCTCTTTCAAATATTTTATTCATTTTTATAATCTTGTCTCGTCGTTGACTTCGATCTATTTGTTAATCCGTACTTTCATCGCCTTAAAACAAAATTAACATTTCTCATTTAATCGTTCGCTTTTCAACTCTTTACTGGAGTTGGAAACAGCTGGACAGCATATTTAGATGCTACTTATACATACGTGCGTTGATGCGCACACATTTTTTGTCTCATTAAAGCACACAGTGTCCGTGTGCAATAAAAAAAATGTGGTACGTTATGTGGCCGAGTGGCCGAGAAAAAATCCACGAGAAAAAGTAAAATTTTCACGGAAAAAATTTTTTACCGTTTATTTTGCGAGTATCCAGTATCCTTTCGGTAGATTAAAAAAACAAAACAAAAAATGTATACGAATTAAGAAATTCCCAATCCGACAATTATAAATATTATAAATTGATGATTTTATAATCTTTCATCTCAGGAATATTATCTATCCGTTCGGCAGTTTGTCAAACATTCGGTTAGTCATTGCGATCGTCCGTCGATAAAAAAGAAAATAACTAATGGCTCGATTATTGTTGTGATTTATCGTCCAATGAGCTGACGCGTGAGAAGCAACATAAACGCGTGAGAAAAAATAGAGAAACCGAACGTTATCGAAGCGACTGTTGGCAAAATAAATGATGGGTCGTGCGGTGTAAGGATACCTCGAGTGCGAATAACCGAAAATCGCCGAGCGACGAATGCGATTTTCCGCAACATTAACGCAGCGTGGGCTTGGAGAAGACAAGGGGCGCACAAAGGGGAAAAACGAGATGGAATGCGACTGTAGAAGCAGGTGAAAATGAAGGAACTTCTGGTTGGCCGAGGAAAAAGCAAGTGCAGCGCCAACGAGCATTTGTCAAAACTTTTGACGGAAAGCAGCTGTAGACGATCGCGACTGTCGTGCGCCACTTGCCGCTCGAACCCAATGCGACCCCCTCTCCCTATCACCCGCCTATCCACCACCCCGCAGCTAATTACACGCGGACTCTTTGTCGTTTCCATTTCGGCTAACAGACTTTGCAAAAGCGAATCGATCGCGGAAGAAAGTCGCCCGCTTGACCCTCTTAAATTAAACGATGCGCACGTAATGGAAAAAAGTTGTTCGTGTTTTCAGTGTTGCTTAAGCACCTGCGAGCTTTACGTCGTTTAGCCCGGATTTATTAACCTGACCATTACCGAGAAATATCGGCTGACTCAATAAACTTCGCCAAACTATTCCGCTCGACTCTCACCTAAACCTGACAATATTTATATGCACGTGTGTATTTAGTCAAGGGCTCCATAGACTTATTTGGTTATTTATTAATTTATTTATGGATTTAATCATTTATGCATTTATTAAATAGTCGCCTTAATGCGAAGATAGGTTAATTCTTCATGCCTGTCACTTACAAAACTCACCTTATCATTGATCTGTTCGTTAACGAACGACCAAACGTGCGATGCTTGTTGTAAGGTATTTAAATACAAAAGATTTCACGCTTCGTTCTGCGCTAAGACATGTATTTTGAGCTGTAAGAGGATGGGGGTGAAGATGTGAGGAAGCCGATAAATGACATCTAGTGTTCATGCAAATTAATATGCATTCGAGCGTGATTTTGATGAGCGCGACGAGCCGATGAACCTATCGGTTGAAAATGCCCGACGGATCCTCCTCCTCCTCCTCCTCCTCGCGAAGGTCGGCCAACCTATTCATGACAAATGAAACGTAGGGCTCGGTTGGCTGGTTGGTCCTAGGCTTTTGGTGCATGACACTGGGACAGGTGCGCGTGCGCGCTAGCCCCAAGCGGCTTTTCAAAAATGCTCGTAAAAATACTGGGCCGAGTGATGCGGTCAACGCTAACCGCCTGGAGTGGGCTTTTGTCCCCCGGAGAAACAATCAAATTTGCCTGCCTATGAATAGGGACGAGGGAGTGGGAAACGTAAAATCGTTTTGGCCGAAAAAAATTAACCATAATGTTAGTATGGGTGTGTGTGGGAGGGTTGGTAAGAATAGAATATCTCAAAAGATCGGTTGCATTTGCCAAAGATGCTTTATTAAAAGGATCCTTTTCTACTCGTCACATAAAAATTGTGAAAGTTAGTTCTTTTTCAGCCTCGTATAGTTCGATTTTACACACAATGAAGCATACAAATGTCGAATTAGCTATAGTTTATATATATATATATATATATATATATATATATATATATATATAACAATTAAGCAAAATAGCACGAATTGTAAAAATGAAAAAAAAAGAAGAGTAAAGAGGACGATTTGGATTCGATATTTTTAAGACAAGTGCAATTTTTTTCTTCTACTTATCCTTTATACTCGTAGCTTTATTTTACCATACTGCACATTGACGATTGACTTCGCTTATTCGCAATGTAAACAAATTCTCAAATTAAATACATATCCAATTATAGGCATATAGTCATCGTCGAGTATCTTAATTTGATTTTTGTCGGCATTTTTCTATCGCTCAATCTCATTCCTCACAATTTTCACGTAACCGTAATATAGTTACTTAAGCATGTGCTATTATTTTGAGTTTCGTTTGCACTTTACGGTCGCAAATAGCAACAATAATTATATTCATAAATCATGCTCTTCTTTAATCTTCTTTAATTCTTCATTAATTATTGCGTTAATTTAATCAATTTTGTAATCAGTCTTCTCTCTCTCTCTCTCTCTCTCTCTCTCTCTCTCTCTCTCTCTCTTTCTCTCCGAATGTACTGCCGAGGACCGAAATTTTGAATGGAAATGTGCTCGATGCTCGTCAAACACAAATAGACAATAGTTACGACGATTGTATGGCCAACGAGTTTCCAATTGCCTAACGGGAAGCCATGCCTATCGCAACCACGAAGTTTCTTTGGACAGGAACGGGAAAACAGATCGATAAAAATAAACTTTGTCATGCAGCCTAAGTGAAAACATTGCATGTCTATATTATATCCAGTGTGTAAGGTATTGAGAGCAACGGGGACGTGAGGACGGGAAGATTATTAGCTCTTGTTAAATTATTGCTCATGTTAAATATCGAAAGGTCGAGGGATTACTTAGACATGCTTGGGGCAAGCGGCGCTCGTCGTTCCCTTTCAGTCGCGCGATGCCATTGTAAGACGATTACAGCCGACGTTTCTTCCACTCTCTCGTCCAATGGCCGACAACTTACTTGGCCACATCAGCGCGTCCCCCGCATGCGTGTGCAAATTCAAGCGCAACTTTAATGAAAAAATTAAATTAAAAACGTTTGTCAATGCATGTGTCTGTAGTACATTATGGGTGGGGGGCGTTGCGACCTTAACCGACGTTTCTGCGTCAACTCTTGACTGCGCGTATAACTTTTCCCAGAGCGCGGTAGACGCTTAGATTATGTTAGAGTAAGGTATAAGATAATATAGAGTATATTATAACTTTATGACCTTTAGCTTTTGGCTTAGCCAAGAGAAGGGGCGATTAAAGAAGCGAGCCGTTGCGCACCGTATCGCGACGATAGCCTTATCTAATGTGCGCTGTGTCGCAACGCGAAGAAGAGGCCCAGGGATATAAAAAAAAAAAAGAAAAAAAAGCTGAGAGCACGGAGTGCTGGCAAAGGGAAAGCTATTGGATAAGGGAACTTTTCCTAAGAGCCAAAGTCCGGCTTCGAATAATTCAAATCCGTCTGGGAGCCTCGATCATCGATCGTAATTCGTAACTTTCATTGACATTGCGCGAGATTGCGCGGAATTGCGCGAGATGGGTGGGGAGGGTGAGGGTGGCTCCGTGCCAAAAGCTCCCGCTCCCTGTTTGAGCGAAGCTTTCGGCCCCTATTCAATGCCATCCGAACTCTCTGGAAGAGCTGGGAGGGAGCTGGGATACGCAGGGAAGCGGATTCTCGCCTCCGGTCCCCGAACCCCGCCGCCAGCGCAGATATGTTTTCAAACTATATCGGCGTATAATTAAGGCTGTACATTGCTTTTGGGGAGGGGGGAGTGTAGGACACGCGTTCGCTCAATCGTCGATCGTCCCGCCAACTAACTTCTTCAAGAGACTAAAGAGACTACGGAGAGACTTCTTCGATTGACTCAGTTCCAATCTCAGACTCAGTCTCCCCATACGTGCTGCGCTTCGATAAAAAATTTAACTTCTTTTTGTTACGAATAATTAGTTGATAAGTAATAGTAAAAATGGTCTATTGTCGAGTCCCGATGTCTCAAAAAAATGATTATTCGCGCATGTTTAGTGCTTGGATATCGCTGTAAAATTATAAAGCTTACGGTATCGATAGCATCATCAAGACGCGATGGCCCTGATACGGGTGGAATAAATTACAAATGATAAGAGATCGAATAAAAGCTTCTCGTCCTTCTCGATACTATCGTTAATTTTAAGCTGAGAAATGTATTTACGAAGTCACGGGCGACACGGTAATAGGGACGCAGTGACAATATCGCTGCGACGACTCATCGATCTTACGCCTTTTAAAATAGTCATAGTGAATTCCATATCTGAGATGTGCAGTAAACGTTTGCATTGAACGTCTCGATCAAGCCTTACCGTAGCCCGTGAATCCGAAGAAAATTGTTTGGGCGTAATTGTTCGCTCGCGCGATCAAAGACTTTAGGGGTTATTCGGGTGGTTTGGTAGTGTCCGAGAGGAAGGTCAAAGGGCCGAACACGCCTCTCTGCACTAATGGGCCATTTGTCTCGGCCGACGACGTGGAGAATCGTGTCGAATATATATTTCTAGGTCTTCGTCCGGCGATTAACGCGTCTGCGCGCGCATAGGCACGAGATGAGGCGACGAAAGCTAAATAACCCAAGTATGCTCGGTTGGTTCGCAGATCGAGTACAGACCCTCGGTCGTCCCGGCCAACTGCTGGGAGCTCATACGCGAGTTCGTTCAAGGATTCCTCGGCTCCGCCGTCTCCAGCCAAATTCCCCAATACTTGCAGGTAAGTTCTTACTAATAATGGCCTTCGTCGAGGTAGCTTTAGCCACCACCTAGACAGGACTTACAAGCACAGCAGTCGATATTATGCGTAAGACTTAAGTCGAGAGAGCATAAAGCACGCTTTCTAAAGTCCAGAGGAAATGACTTGTTCTAAAGCACGACGAATGCCATCAAAATTGTGACTATATTCGCAATCCTATGTTTATTGTGAAGTAAAATTAATTTTTTCTTTTCTTTCAGAACCGCATGAACGAAATTTATCAACCAATGGACACGATTCATCAATATTTAGAACACTTTGGCCAATATAGAAAATCCACCGGTGTTATATAAGCACATAGAGATAAGATTTAAACACATGTTTATTTAAAGTTAGAGTATGTAGTGTTATTTCTAATTAGATAATAATAAATAAGACAACAACAACAACAACAAAGAAATAAAAAGAACGGTAAAGAAATAAAAATTTACTAAGAAATAATTTTAAGTTGCGAAACATTGTAGTATTCCTATTCAAATAAGGATATTTAATAAAAAAAAAGATAAAATAAATCAATAAAACAATCTTAATTAGGATAAAGATGAATGAATGTCTTTTTACCGATCGACGATTACGTTAATATTGTCAGATTAAAGCAGCAAAAAACGAACATAAACATGCTCCATCTGTTAGCAGTTCTCGTAACTTTTTTTCGTTACCCACACTTCTTTTATCCGTTGAGATTAATAGAAGAAAGAAAAGAAGATGAAAAAATTTATTATTATTATTAATTTCCATGGAAAGATTATAAAAATCAATTTTTTATTCCAAATTAAATGATAAATATTTGCAAGTATTTTAAATTTCAAGTGATCGACAGTGACATCTATTCGTACTATTATAGTTAGGTAGCCTGGTATTTTCCATAAAATACCGTATTAGAAATTAAAAAAAAAAGAAAAAAGGAGTTGAAAAGAACAAAATTAATATGGTGAGTATATATAAATAAACGCTAACTGCTTTTGCCTGCCAAGTGCATATTAATGTCAAATTACGCGTAAGCTCATTAATATTTATTATCGTGGAAATGAATTGGCAATTTTTACAAAGCACGCGTTTGAAAATTTCCATCTAACGAGTACCTGTACAAGCTATACGACATAAAGATGAAATATCAACTCGACGACTAAAGATAATCGTCCAAATTTAAGATAAATTTCCCCTCTCGCGGAGATAAAAAATTGTCCCCTTAGGGAAAATTTACAAGAGAAATGCTTACGACTTGGCTTCTCTACGTGCACGCACTCCTTCCGAAGCTTTTCACAAACATTCGAACCATTGGAATAATCCATTAACCTTGAATGAAATACATTTCTCTCTCTCTCTCTCTCTCTCTCTCTCTCTCTCTCTCTGCACAAGAAGTTAAGAAACTCAGTACGAGTCGAGTCGGTCAGCGGATACTTGAGAGGGTCAAAGATCAAAATTTCCTGTTGCATAAATTAAGAAACATACTCGCGTGCTCGAAAAAGCAAAAGCCAACTCGACCATTCTAATCCACATTTTTAAAAACATCTTACACACGTACACACGCGCCCAAGCGCTTGTCGCGCACACACGCACGCGCACACACCGAATACGAAAATTCAAATTATCCTTCATTTAATGGGCTTTGCTCGAGTGTTCGACTCTCCTCCTCCTAGTTAATAGTACGAGGAAAAATGAGAGAAAAAGGCACAAGAAGCAAAAATAAAATAAAACAAAAAAAAAAACTTGCGGCAATCGACAACCGAATAGACTAAACTAACGAGTTTTAAAGAATCTCATTAAAAAGCCAGTTTGTCGATTTTGTAATGAGGAACATAACGAAGATTTGTTTTCATTTTAAACGGATGCAAACTCCTTAGCCGCGGAGGTCACACTTTATTATTTTTAAGCGCACAATGCTTTCGACATCGTGTCGCTCGCTCCCCCTCCCCCCTCTGGCCACCAGATACATGCGTGCCTTAAAATTAAAAAAAATAAAGATACGACGCTGGAGGATCGGAAGCGACACGGCCATTGTTTCACCATTCACGCGTGTATGATCCTCGGCCAGTATATCCGAGCGTCGCAACGGCGGCTCCCACCAAACCCTCATCGGGGGCGACATTATCATGTCCATAATCTCGGCCAGGGCGCTCGGCCATACATACAATAGAAATAAAACGAAAATAAGGCCAAAATTGGCGACAATCGCGTAAAGGCAACCCTAAAATACCTTATTATTAATACCAAGGAATGGGAATTACTTGCTCCCTTAATCATCGGAATCCCAAATCCATATCTACTCGGGGATGTCGCGCGCTTATGAGCCGCCGCACATTCTCATTCGGACGATCCCTGTAAAGATCGCACGATCGTATTGTGATGATTAATCCATCAGTCCCCTCGGCCCGCGATTATTACAACGTAACGAACGAGTGGAAAAACAAAGAGAGGGAAGAAATGAAAACAAGATGAGATTGTCGCCGACTAAAGCGACGGGTAGCCGCCGACCTTGCCGTGTCCACCGCGTCCCGTTATACCTCGTGGAATTCCAAGTCCGCGCGGTGGCGCCGTCAGTCGAGTAACGCGGCAAACACGATTACGTTCACCGTCGTGGAGGAGGAGGAGAGTTGCAGTAGCCGTCGAGCCGGATTAGTTCCCAGTGCTCGCGTTATTCACAGACGTTCATGCCGCATCGACCGTCGAGCCCAAGGTTCTCTGGTCCAGTGTGTCCGCGATGGAGGTGAGTTGGAGGGCCCTGCTGACTCGGCTCGGCTCGAAGTTCAATAAATTGTTAAAGCATTGGTTGTTTAAGGGGGCCGAGGAGCTGGTGACTCTTTATTTCTTAACTCGTTCATTAAATGTGCTTGCAGATCGAGGTGGTGACGGCGAGCGGCTCGAGGAGCGTAGCCACGGTTACGGTGAGTAAGCGATATTGAGATTAGTCGGGCGGTTGTCGGCGGCGCGGTTACTCGTACTCAGGGGACTCGGTTTATCTCGTACCGCGTACGATTGCCACTGCGACGAGTCGGCCTGCCCTTTCAAATGATTTATTTTGTTTTTACAGGCCAATCCGAACACGACGGTGGGCGAGATAAAGAAGCAATTGAACAAATTGAAGAAAGGAACGTACGTACAGAGGCAGTGCTTGCGGCTGTCGCCGAAGGGCAAAGCTCTCGGCAATGAGGAGACCGTCGAGGCTTTGCAGCTAAAGAGCGGTGCGAAATTGTATTATAAGGACTTGGGGCCACAAATTGGCTGGAAAACGGTTTTCATAGCAGAGTATGCGGGACCCCTGGCAGTCTACTTCTGGCTGTATAGGAGGCCATGGATTTTTTATGGGAATCTAGCCGATAGCACATTTAGCCCAGTAGTGCAGTAAGAAATACGGGCGCCGATCATTCCGCTCTTATTTCCATTTGTACAATATTGTTGTCTTGGTGATTGCATTGGCTCGATGGTAAGATTTTTGTCTTTTTGCAGTTGGGCGGTGGCATGCTGGTCCATTCACTATATAAAGCGGCTGTTGGAAACTGTATTCGTTCATCGTTTCAGTCATTCGACAATGCCATTGAGAAATCTTTTTAAGAATTGTACGTATTACTGGCTGTTTGCTATGTACGTTGCCTACCATGTTAATCATCCGCTTTATACGCCACCGTGTTCACTGAGTTTCGTCATTGGAGCAACAGCATTCTTTGTATGCGAATTAGGCAATTTGAGCATTCATTTGGCACTCAGAAATTTGAGACCTCCTGGAACGACGATAAGAAAAATTCCAATGGCCACTAGGAATCCCTTCACGCTATTGTTCAATTTGGTTTCCTGTCCTAATTACACTTATGAAATTGGAAGCTGGATCGGCTTCACCATCATGACCCAATGTCTCCCAGGTGAAATCACTCGCATAACCAATATTGTTTTATGCATAAGTACGCGTCTGCGCGTGTGTATGTGTACTATTTTGTACTCAAATGCCAAATTATTTGCAATATATATTTAATAGTAAGAAAAATATTTAAATATTTCTAAAGTAAATAGTCGGTAGAGACACGTTTGCCACTCGATAGCTACAATCTAATGACAAAATGACATTTTCATTTCATTTTAAAATGCACCCCATAAATAATCATTCGCCAAATCCGATGCAAAAATAAATGAATGAATTCTTATTACTAGCTAGCACAATAAGTATTGATTGAAGTTATTTTTCCCACTACTCGTAAAGTCACGTTCTATAAATTATCGTTATTAAAAATGTAGGAAACTTTTATAAGATAAATAATGGAATTAATCTTATAAAAGGCTAATCAACGAGTCTCTTATTTATTTAATCGATCGATAGATTGATAAAGTTCCATACGATACGATTATTACTGCTCTAATAATATTTCTTGATCGTTGATAATTAATAAGAACTTTTTTTTTTGCAGCTGGCCTATTTACCCTCGCAGGTGCCTATCAAATGACCGTGTGGGCACAAGGAAAACACAAGCTTTACAAAAAGGAATTCTCCAATTATCCAAAGTGTCGCAAGGCAATTATTCCATTCGTTTTGTGAATGAACTAGGAATGCATTTCCATAAGCAAAGACTATCAACATTTATATGGGTATTAAAGCCTGGTGTTCTGTATTTTGTTTTGTTTTGTTAACATTTTTACTATATAATAAATACGTTTTTGAGGTAAAAGTGGATAAATTTCTATTGATCGCCGTATTAAAACACATAAGCCTATTTGTAGTTTTATGTATTTAGCTCCACGTGTCTGCAAGTCAATCTGTCGATATTTTCCATTAGAAGACCAATTATACTCTTGCACTCTTGGATTTCGGTTTGGTAATGCTGTTCCAACTGCTCGTTGTCATGGAAGACCTTGGCGTGGTTAGCCTTTGCCTCCATTGGCGTGATCCTTTCCTTTTCGGCACCGAGAAGATTCTCCATATCGCCGATGTGCTTCTGCGCGCTCTTGAGCTCCTCTTTCAACGAGTTGAGCTCCGCCAGGAGCATGATATTCTCTTCGAGAACTTTATTGAGCTTAGCCTCGACTATCGGATCGGTGCGAACCAATTGCTTCTTCAATATCGCTATTGACCTCTCAAGATGGTTTCTCTGCTTCATGAATTCGCACTGGGCATCCATGTCCGCTTTATGACTACGCAGGAACTCATCGACATCGCTGTAGCGACGGTACAGTTTAATGACGCAGTTCTTCAAGGCCATTGGATCCTGTATCAGTCCGACAGCTTCGAGCAAATCTATACGAATCTTCCTCAATAACTTCTGGTAGCGCTTGCGTCGCAGCTCCTCCTTGTTGAATTCCTGCCGCAAGGTATTCAGCTTGCCCTTGAGCTCGTAATGACGCGATTCCAAGCCCCGTCGCACCTTATTCAAACCCACCAACTCTGCCTCCATGTCGTCCACCTTCTTTTTCAGCTCGTCGATCGTCTTGTCGCGCGGTTCTATTTCCGACATCAACTCCTTTATGCGCTCGTTCAATACGAACTTGAACTTTTCCAATTCACGGTTATTACAATCGAGCCTCTTTATATTCTTATCCTTATCCGTAATCATTGACTCCTTGTTTAACAATTCGTCCTTCAAATCGGTAATAAACTTCTCCATTTCCTCCTTTCTAGATATTAAATGCGTGTATTCCTCTTTTAGGTTGTTCAATTGCCACTTTAAGTCCTCAACTTCCTTTTCGTATGTCTTCTGCTTACTCTTCAAAACGCCTGCCTCGCCCTTTAATTTTAGCACGAACTGGCGTTCTTCGTACAACTTCGACTCGTAATTCGTTCGCAAATCCACGATTTCACGATCCGTATCATCTTCCATTTGTATCTTAATGATCTCGTGTACCTGCACGTTTTTTGACATTTCCTCGTGAGCCTCTCTCAGTTGTAATTCCTTTTCTTGCATGAAAATTTCGTGTTTAGATATGACGCTATCTAACGGCATAACAAAAAGAATTTTTCATTATTTTACGAATTGTATTTTCAAATTAATATATTAATTTTGGAAAATTCGTTAGAAAATTATAACGGCCTGCATTCTTTTAATATCCTGCTAATGGTCTGATAAATGTTACCGCTTCCCTTTTTCCATTCTTCAAAATAATGAAGAATGTTTAGTGAATTTAATAACATAACGTTTATTTAAGACTATAATTTTCTCGTAATGACAAGTTTGAGGTAAGTTTATGATAAATTCAAGGACTATTAAACGGCTTATACCCAATAACGATAAACCATTATGTTTTTTTAGTCATTAAAATTTATAAACCTTTGAATGATGATATTTACTTATTTATCCATAATACGTCCAATTTTACGTGCTATTAATTTCATAAAATTAGTCTGGAAGCAATTGCTTGTGTGACTTTATTCAACGATACATCAACTACCAAATGTGCGAAGGGGTTTTATTTCCGAGTGTAAATAGAGCGAAGCACCACCTCCATATATAAATATTATTTATAAATCAATAAAAAAAAAAGGCTGAATTACTTAATGAAATTAAAGTTGAGCATCGTAGTGTAAATTGTAGTCTTAATTCTAAGTAATGTAGCTGAAAATGTGAAGTACTCATTTTGTACGTAAATTTAAGATATTTGGCGTAAGTATGCAGGTCATACGTAACTTCATACTCTTTTCGCGTAATTTTGTGTAAAGCTTGTTAAACGGAAAAATTAATAAATAAATTGTTCGAAAATTACACGGATAATTCTATATTAGCGCGATAAAATGCTATTCTACCTAATTCATCTTTGCTGGTTTTCATAAGATTATCCAATTTATCCTCATAATTTTGCCTCATAGCATTGAAATCCGCCTCGAGCTTATCGTACTTATCGTACTCGAAAATTAATTTGGCGTCATAGTTGACCTCCATTTGGTGCATAGTCTCCTCGTGTATTTTTTTCGTATTATCTATATCGATGTTAATGTTATTAATTTCGTTAGTGTGGCTCTGCTCGAGCTTGTCGATCTTGTCCCGTAACTCTTCGATGGCCTCGCAGTAATTCTGGTGGATCAGCAGGACTTTGTCGTTGTGCTGAAGAATGGTTTGACGCGTCTGGTAATCGTGCTCGGCCTGCAGTTCCTTCAACCGTGTGTTCAGGTCCTTAATAATTTGCATTTTACCAGCAAGGTCGGTTCTGCTTATGAGGATTTGATTGAAATTAAAAAAATCTCGGTACAACAATCCTATTTTCCCGTCGGCGTACGATATTTTCCAGAAGCAGATGGTACCGACAGAGTCCGTTGTTATCAAAACTTGCTGGTCATATGACAAACGTATCTGCAATAAACATACAAGCTATTAAAATTCAATAATATTATTGAATATTATTATCGAATTAATTGATCCTTTGGAAAGGAAAGTCAGCTTTTTCACGCTTCCTTTCTCAATGGCAATTGCCAAGAACTATTCACGCTTCAATGACACTCAACTGGCCATGTATTATAATAATCAATTAAATACATACGTGACGCCTAAAAAAAAACGGGAATTTTGAATGCTTACCTGAGTGATATCAGAATGATGAAAATGATACTCCTTAAATTCAATTGGATCTTGAATAGGAGATTTTAATAATCCCACGAATCCACCAGAATAAGTAATAAACATCAGCGAATCGCTTTTTCCCATGAGTATCTTTGTCGGTTGAATGTTGGGAATGTTGAACGAATAAATGTTCTGCAAAAATGTCCTTGTAGTTGCAAGTTGTAGTTAATTGCCTCGATTTTTTAGTATTTCGTAAAGGAAAATTTACCGAATTATCTTTGATTTCGTAAATTTTATTATCTTTAGATATACAGTAGACTGTAGATGCATCGGCTGCTAAAACGATTCCGCACAATGTTATTCCTTTTAAGACAATTTCCGATAATCGACCTCCAGTATTCATATCCCATTGATAGATAGCGCCTTCTAATCCAATACTTACGAGTTTCGCATCATTTTGCGACCATATTATTTCTTGTATAATTTCAACGTGACCTTAAATGAAATCTTTGGCATAATTTAACGAAGAGTAAAACGCTACTTGATTAAAATGTCGATAAAGCAAATAGCACATTACATTAATAATTATTATTATTTACGCGCGCGCGCGTGTGTGTGTGTGTGTGTGTATGTATAATATAATATATGACCAAATCGATACCTTTTAATTGAAAGCGTATATCAAAATCTATCGTTGAATATACTAACATAATATTCCTATTAACGGCTGCAAAAAGATGCCCTCCATTGCTGAATGCAGCTACCTCACAGTTCCTAATGGGAAACTCCTTTATTATTGATAAATCATTAATTAGAATATTCATAAATCTTAATTTATCGGTAAATCCAATAAGGCAGAAAAGACCCAATGGATGTAGGACAGTACATGTAATGTCTTGTAGATACAGCTTCATCATAATCAAATTTTGCGTGTGAAAGTCCCATAATCGGATGCTCCGATCGAATTTTCCAAAGGTCATAACGTGCGATTTCCAGCTACAAGTGGAAAGTCCACCGATAGGTCCATGGTGCAAATCGTTACCCAACACTTTAAAGTATTGCGGCTCCGTTTCGCTCGCATATTCGGGACCCCACATTGTTACGTAAAATAACTTTGACCATCCTGTGGTGATAAGCAGCTTATCGCCGCTTGGATTCGCACTTATGGTATTCACCATATATAATGAATCATCGTCATCTTTCAACACTTGCGACGGAATAACATACACATTTCGTTTTGTGTATGTGTACTGATTGTTTTTTTCAAAAACAATGACCGTCCTGTAGCCGAAAGCAAATGCGAATCCATTATTGAATGAAATAATACTTTGTATTCGTTGAAAGTTGACACTTGACTTTTCGTCAATATTTGTCTGAGAGGTTGTATTATGTATTACAAATTCTTCCTTAATTTTGAAATTCATAATGGTAGTATTCGACATCGTGTATATGTTCTTCAGATCGCCATTCTCGAAAAAGAGAATTCGACCGTCTACCGTGCCGGCGAGTAAACGGTCGCTGTTCAGCCAAGCGAGTGACGTGATGATCAAATTATCGGCTTTTGAAAAGCCATAGGGACACCAAATATTCTCGGATAGAGTTAAAAATTTGAAAACGTACGTTCCACCAAGTGCTATGATGCTGGTGTCGCCGGGATTGCAAGATATCAGATTTATCTTCGATTCAACGATTTGCAAATTTCCCACTTCCAAGCTCGATTCCAATTTACCCTTTTCAAAATTATAAAACATCATTGTCTGCGTCTCGTTAGTGACGGCTGCTAAGTATTTGCTATCTAGAGTGAATGATAAGCAGGTGAAACTGGTAACTTCAATGGAATCGGAGGGAACGCCAAATACTTTTTTCTTTTTCAAGCTTTTCAAATCGTAAATAGAGATCAGTGGCTTATCTCTATATTCAGCTAGCGCAACAAATTTTCTAAAATTAAAAAATTATTAATCGCTCAAGTGGGTTTCATTAAAAGAGGTAGACGAGGGGATGAGAGGAGGTGGGAGGGAGGGAGGGAGAAAAAGAAAAGAATTATTATTTGTAATAATAATAAAAAAAATGCTTATCGCGTACTTTTAAAATTTATTATTATTATTGATATTAGGTTTTTTGAGAGTGAGAGAGAGAGAGAGAGAGAGAGAGAGAGAGAGAGCGAGTGCGTGTGCGTGCGTGCGTTATTTTACATCATAATTCGATTACTTTTCGGATTTAAACTAATAATTAATGCAAATAAGAAAGTACATAACGAGTAGGTGTGAATTTGGTGTGAAAGCAACTGTTTTTTTCTTCGGTACGTTAAATTCTTTAAAATATTGAAGAATATCGATCTGCGAAGTATTCGATTAAAACAATAAAATTTGGCTTATTGTCGTACTTGCCTGTTAGGAGAGATGGTCATCGTGTTTATTTTGCGTTTGTCGATCAATCGATACAACCTTTGTCGCTGTTGGGAATAATTGTGCAATGAGATATTATTTCCAACAAGATAAACAACTTCATCGTCATTGACGTAATGAGCGTTTCCAGTGATATTCGTACGCAATCCATAGATGATCCGCGTTTGTAATCGCGGCATTACAGTAAAAAATATAAACCAATTCGGTTCTAATTTCACGCTTTCGTCAAATTCCAAGGGAAATTGTTATCTTCATTTCCTTGACAACGAAGAATATTACGGTCAAACCACGTGTAGTAGCATTCGTTATAACTTATTATTTAGCTACTTTAAATCTTTTGAAATATTCAGAATATCTGCTGAACGCCATATTTCATATTTCATTTTTCTTTTCTCTCTCTCTCTCTCTCTCTCTCTCTCTCTCTCGATGATCCCATAGATTCGACAGATTAAATTGAAAGCTAAGAGCTCACAAGGCACTTGGAACGAACTCATACCTCGGTTGATAGAATTAAAAATTTGCCCACTGAAGAGACAGCAAGTGCGCGGTCGGCTCACAAGATCGGATAAATTTTCACAACCATTAAAGTAAAAATTGACTTTTCGATCATTTATTTGTTCAAATATGTCGTGCAAAGTATAAACATGATCAAATTTCAATCTCCCCCGCACTAAAAATATCCAATGAACATTGGACGCGAGCATTTTAATCGTTGATGCAACATGGAAAAAACGCACACTCGAAGCGTCGATAAATTAGCTTTTGTCCAGCGAGTTGGTGCTCGCAAAAATGGAAGCTAATAAGACAATTAAAACAAAATATCGTAATATTTTGATCAGCCGGGTAAAAAAGTCTTTGCTAATTATCATTGCGAGTAGCGAAATAAATAAATGTTCATTTTGATCGATAATTTGAAAAATCCTCCCGAGTCTTCGACCTCGGTCAACGTTCGAAAGACCAATACCAACATCCACGTTACGCACTACACATGCGCACACGTACGCGCGTGCAACGGACGTTCGCTACTCCACGCGGAATTTTTACACGCAACACGTGAGTGACAAGCCGTAAAAGATCGTTAGAAGCTCCATTATCAATGTGTATTTCAATTTCGTTGTGCATCAATTACAAGAATGTTAGAAGATTTGTTTTTATATTTAAGAGTGTCCGCTTAAGATAACAAATAATGTTATAATCGGTAATGTTAGCCACTTTATACGTTTAAATTCACGTTATGCTTTCTTATAAATCACAAGCTATAACCTGTACAGCTCACTTGCGTTTAAAATTTTGTATTTGTTATCAACACTGTATCGCGGCATTTCAGCCGATTAATTTGATATAGCGATGGAGAGTGTGCCACAGAGTTTGGATCTTTGTAAAATTTGTTTAAACGAGTGTGATTCGTATGAGAATCCAGCTATATGTTGCGAAGGGAAGTGTCAACAGAAGGTGCACGTAAGATGTTTGAGCAGAGGTGCTTTGCCAAGTAATCTTATTGGAGACGTATTTTATGATTTATATTGTACAACATGCTCAAATTCCAAGGACGAATTTGTTATTCGACAAAAATTGCCATGGCTAACAGCTGTTATATTGACGTTGTACAATTTGCGAGAAAAATCTAGTGGTATAAGTCGAAGAGGATATTTTCATTGGAAATCGGATATAAGTATGTTCATTAATAACAACTGGAATCAACTATTCACCAAATCAGTGTAAGTTTTTATAAGTTAAATTATAGTGGCAATTATATGTGTGCGTATGAGTACACGCGCCCGTACGCGCTCACACGGATATGCGAAAGCGAATACGCAAGCGCGTATGTGGTATGCAGACAATATTTTCCATACTATCCTGTATAGGCATGAATTTGCTAATGCGGCGGACGTATTCGAATGCATATGTCGAATAAAGATAATAAATACATTCTTGTCCTTGGCCATAATTTACATTATTTTTACCATTTCTTTGATTTTAGAAAATGTAATTTACTTAGCTGTATTTCATCAAATGATTCAATTTTTAATTATTTGTTTCCTTCAAAATTCAAAATATAATCATTAATATGTGTAAAATGTTGTGTTGATTGTAATGTTGGATTAACAATTTAATTAATAAGTAAACATTTGTATATTTGAGCTCCTATGAAATAATGTCTTGCCAAAGATTATCGTTGAAAATTTTTTCTTAATTGTGAACTTCAATATTTCAGGAAACGAAAAAAAAATTGGATTGGTACCATATCTGGTACATTATCGCATTATAGTGGACTGTTTTTCAAGTCAGGAACATCCGAACTTGGAGATCAAGGATGGTGGAAATTAATTGATAACGATCCCCCCGAAGTTCTAGTCAATAAATGTACTGTAATTATTATTATAACTTAAGTCCACTAAATTACACACTAATCGATTACCTTCTAAATTTTCATTATGCTTAGATTACAAAGTATTAAAAATAAAAAAAGAGCATCAAGCAAAATTGAAGTCAAAAAATATTGAAAATTTCACTGTCAACTCAAATATTTCCTCTGACATTTGTGATATTAATGGAGTCGAAGATGTAAAGATCGAAGAAGATAATACTGCAGTAAATTTAGAAGAAACGGAAGCGGATTCTAATAATGAAATTTCCACGAGTATTCCCACGTGCGAAGAATTTGAAGGTAACGAAAATGTACGAATTGTCGTAAATGAATGTAATAGTATATAATATCGATACTAATTTATCATTTAAAGATATTTTAGACCTAGACATCGATATACCAAACATTGAAGATTTTCCATCTTTCAATCTTTCGGAAAGCGCCATTGTAGAAGAATTGCCATTTGAAAGTAGTAATCAATTACCCCAAGAGTTTGTATCGGATTGTCTTGATAATGTGCTAGACACTATTGAAGAGTCTGACGAAGATGTCGACGTTTCTGAGACAAATATAGAAGATTGTCAAGAAAGCGAATTATTAAAAATAAAATGTGACACGGAGCAATTAAACGAACAAAAGGAATGCAATGAAAGTAACAAGAACACTGAACTTCCACCACCAACTCCGTCATTGTTCAACCAAACGGTTAGAAGACCATGGCCCTGGGATGAATCAATTAAACTCGATCCAGGTACCATTTTCCTATAGACTGTGTCAATCTGTCTATTTTTTCATTTTTTTTATGTTTTGTGTACAGCATACTTCTTTCTAAATCGTTAATTGATTAGAAATATTATTTGTTCTTGTATAAAATGTTCAATGCACATTCCTATTAAACACAAATTTACATGTAATTAAATTTTGTAGACAATAATCATCGAACGTACCCTATTGATTAATGAGCTTGATATTTGCTATTTCATCATTAATTTTTTGATTTATTGACCTTAATTGCTTTATAAACGAATGAAATCTTTCTAAATTTCGATAATTTCAGATAAGGTAAGGCCACTTATGAGCGAACGCGAAGAAGAATTTTTATTGCAAAAAATTGAACAGTACAAGCATCTACTTGATACTGCACCGCCTACTGTAAGGAGATTATATCGTAAACTGGCTAATCGAAAGCTGAAAAGACAGTATGGCTTGCCACTTCTCAATATCGACACCTTTGGAAAAGAGACGAAAAAAGATATTCCAAAAATGAAAAAAAAATGCAATACAGTCTTAGATCGTTTCATTTCAGAAGATATGAGCATTTTCTTTGAACAAAGATTGCAAGGACATTGCGAACCAACATCTGTACACAGCCCATATACAAATAGGCTTTTAAAACCTTATATTAGACGAGATGTGACTAGTTGCCCATTATGGTTAACCATTATGAATGAATTGTTGGCAAAAGTGAATAGCAAGAGACCCGGATGGAAACCTCGACGCAATGCGCCAATCGATTACTCTTACATTCGACCCCAACATGTTCCAGCGATAAATAGTCTATGTCATCAGTTCTTTTGGCCAGGAATAGATTGTAAGTACTGCCACGGTATCTTCAAAATGCATTAAGAAGTATGTTGTTGTTATTATTTTAAATTGCTTTCCCTTCAAATTAAATATCGCTCAAATTAAGGATGGATAGAAAAATAATTATCATTACTTTTCAATGTATCCAACATTTGCTGAAAATTGAAGATCGTGAAGTTTAATGGACTTTTATCATTTTTCAGTGACAGAATGTCTACAGTATCCAGATTTTACTTGCGTTGTTTTATACAAAAAAGTAGTCGTAGGATTTGCAATTATGGTTCCAGATGTTGGATATAACGAAGCGTACATCTCGTTTCTGTTGGTACGTCCAGAGTGGCGACGAGCTGGTATAGGAAGATTTATACTTTACCATCTTGTTCAAACTTGCATGGGTAAGGATATAACGCTCCACGTATCAGCCACGAACACTGCTCTTATTCTGTATCAAAAGTTTGGATTTAAGCAAGAAGAGTTTGTTCAAGATTTTTATGAAAAATATATACCACCATCGTCAAAAGAAAGTAAACACGCATTATTTTTGAGATTAAGTAGATGAATGTTGAGGTGCCACTATAATATTTATAAAACTGAATTTTACTGTTAACTTATTTGCATTATTTGTATGCTAAAAGGTCGTATATTCCTATAAGAAAACGACGATAAATACAATATGAAATACAACAAATTATAGAATAGCGGTATTGCATAAATTTGGTACAACGCACCAAGTATTATACATCGAGCGAAGGAAATCTTTTTATAAAGTGTTTAATTATAAGCAATGACAAATGTATTTATTATCAATATATAAATGGCAATGTATTATTTTGAGTACCCAAAAGGCTTGTGATTGATTTTACAATTTGTGTAATTGAAATTACAATTCTAAATCATTATCATTATCATTATTATTGTTGTTGTTGTTGTAGTATAAGTAGTAGTAGTAGTAGTAGTGGTGGTTGCTGTTGTTTTTGTTGCTATTGAAACTCTTTCAAGGGCAAGGGCCTCGAAATAAGCTTCAAATATAATCTAAATCTGATAGATCGTTAGGGGCGGCCATAAGTAACCATTAGATTAGGCTCGTAACGGCAGATAATCGCGTTTGGACGGGGGCACGGAGATATCGGCCGGGCCTTGCGCTCATGAAACTGCGCATTAAAAGAGGAATGATGGATGGGGAAAAGAAGCAGAAGCCCCCATGAGACGTGGGCCAAAGAGTTGTGTTTGTCGATCGCTTGATTTGACAGACGCGCGTGGCTCATCCTCGGCTGCGGCTAGAGGTCGCGAAAATCGATGAAATATCGAAGGCGTCGCTAATGGGCGGCTAACTTCGCAGCACTCGGATTCCATGGAGGGTGGGAGAGCAGCAACTGCCCCGGTAAAAATAGGCAGGCATCTCTCCCTGTGTTACTTTTTCGCAACGAAGCTTTCGGGCAAACGGGACCGGGGGGGGGGGTGTACGTCCTAACTCTCTCTCTCTCTCTCCTCTCAATTCCTCTGCGGCCCTAACGCGAGTCACGGGCCTCGCGTGCGAAAAGACCCTCGGCGCTGTCCGACGGAGGACGCGCAACGCCACGACGAGAGTACGGGAGCGCGAGAGGTCGGTTCGATTAGAAAGTTCGAGCGCGGCGAGAGAGCGACGCTGTCTTCGAGGCACTTCTCGAAACTTCCGGAAAGCGCGAGAGTCGACGTTTGTATATATGGGCCGTTCGACCTACGCGGCCTCTTAGTACAACAGAAGACGTGAGTCTGTGAGCATCGGTACGGACTTGGGTCGAGAGGGAGAGCGAGAGAGCGAGAGACGACAGGCACGGGGCACGTCATCTCGGTGGAGAATTCTTTTTAAACGGCAGCGCACTTCCTCCCCTGGCATTGTCGGAGGAGTGGACGAGCGAGTCGAGACAGTATAACGGACAAAGTAAGTGCGATGGAAAAGGGCGGAACGGAGGAGGAGACGCAGAATGTAGTTAGAAAAGTCAGTGCGTGGCCGCGCATTTTCGTGAGGAGAGTCGAGGATGGCCCGAGGAGAGCGAAATCGAGGCTTGGGCGGGTTGTTGACTGACATTCGTCGGTCCCCGTCCCTCTTAACCAGGATTCCTGGGGGCTTTCCGTATGCTCGAAGCGGGCCGCTGCCTCTCGACCTTCCCGAACGTTCTCTTGAGCGGCAATTATAAACGCGAGAAACAGGATCGGCTGCTCTCGTTGACGCGACTCGGAGATCGACGGCCCGCGCCTCTTCGCCTCGGTGTATTCATCATTTCCCGAAATAGCGGGCAAAATAAGGCGCGTAGGTGTCTATTCAGCTCGTGCTTGCGTGCTTGCGCGTTTGCGCGTTTGCGTACGTGCATCCATCCATCCATCCATCCATCCATACATACAACCATCCATCCATACAACCATCCATCCATCCATCCATACAACACAACCATCCATCCATTCCATCCATCCATCCATCCATCCATCCATCCATCCATCCATCCATCCATCCATCCATCCATCCATCCATTCATCCAACCAACCATCCATGCGTGCTCCAAAATATAGTTTCATAACTTCGCAAATGGAAACGAACGAGTAAGTACGCTCGATATATATATATATATATATATATATGTAGGTAGATAGATAGAGACAGAGACTGAGAGAGAAAGGTGCGCCAACGCGCAGACTCTATTCTGTACGACATGGCAGAAGGAAAAATTGTCAAAATCATAGATGCGAATCTGTGTGTGTAAGTAAGTAAGCAGCAAATGGACCAAATTGTCGTCCTCGTCTACGTCTTCGTTGCGTAGCCAGTAAACGCTTGTGTATTGTATAAAATACTGGTAAAGTATTTGTCAGCTCCACTTCGCCTTCGTTCCTCCCAAAGTCGGCTGGAGCAAAGCCACAGCCTTGCGACCCGCCTTCTCTCTCTCTCTCTCTCTCTCTCTCCCTCCCTCTCTGTCTCGCGCGCGCGTCCGCTCTGTTTCCCCTCTTGCCCTTCTCTCCTCATCAGTTCCAGTTCGCCTGCCTGTCTCTCTTTTTTCCTTTTTCACGATAGACACCTCTTTTAACTTTGAATACTGCTGCTGCTGCTGCTGCTGTTGCTGTTGCTGCTACTACTACTACTACTACTACTACTACTACTACTACTACCACCACCATTCTACAATTACTACACTACTACTACTACTACTCTATCACTCCTGCTGCTACTGCTACTGCTAAAAACATATTCCATTCGGAAGTCTCTTTTTATGCACACACCGAGAAAAAAGTAACGCAGTCGTGCTCGCGTTAATAGAGCATCGGATTCTTTTTCTTATTTAACGCTCGATGTCCCGAGTGAGACTTTTCTTCATTAGTGGCTAACGATGGCCTTTGTCTACATATCCAATGAAAACAACGTGCACTGAAACTTAATAATAGTTTATGCTTTACGCTCCGCGAACGGCAATTATTCTCCAAAAAAATATATTACAAAATAGGCTTGAGGCACTCGAGTTCTAAGATCGCCCTGGTGTTGTTGATTTGTGTTATTGGTGAAAAAATAAATAAAAAATAACTCCGAGCCAAGATTAAAGATATATAGGTGTTTGGTGTAGAGAAGACGGTAATTGGATTGATATTTCTGCTCTATATTGCTTAAAACGTAACGATTAGCCGATGTTCCAGTATTTAAGTGCATAAAATTATTTCAAAACTTTCGACTTAAATAACTCGACGACAGTTTAAAATAAAACGCGGATTTAATATTTTCGTGAACGAGAGCGCGCTTATTGAGTGACGAATGTATGATTCAGTTTAAAAGGGGCATTTTCGATCTGACGCTGCCTCGTACAGACACGCGCTCGCCACGTATTAATGTGCACACGTACGCGACGTTAAAAAAAAAAAAAAAAAAAAAAAGTGGTACGTGCTCATTTTCTCTCCTACTTTCATCTCTTTAAAAAGGAGTTAAGCAGTAGTTTTGGTGCCGCAATTTAAAGACGCACAACGCACTACGTTTTTGGTTGCATTACTGCAAATCGCAGTGATTAATGATGCGAAACGGGGAGAACGAATGTTACGCACGCGTCATCGAAGTGTTTGCGTATCGATACTTCCGGCTTCGTATTACACTGAATAGCGAGCAACAAAAGAATTAATTTAAGGTCGCGCCGTACTCATTCCTGTTTATACCATTTAAAGCTTTATTTATCTTAAAATTTAATCCCAGTATTATTGCCTTATCCTCTTGATCATCATCATCATTATCAGCAGCACCAGCAGCATTTTCTTCTTCATTAAAAATCTTATTTACGGACATTTATTAGAGAAAGTAGAAACCTAATTGAGAATCTACGCATCTATTAGTCAAGTGCGTGGCAAATATAAATTACAATTGAGTTTATTCTTGCATACGTAAATCGAAATTGCTTGTTCCAGTTGCAATGCAAAAGTGAAATATTGTGAAAAACATTCACTTGATCATTATAAGTAGAAATAATTCAATACGTATGCAATAGCTTGAGCTTGACCATAAAGTAAATACATTTTCAAATTGTATATATATATATATATATATATCTGGTTAATGCGTTTGTCAAATTTTAAAAATAATCTTACTAGCACACTTTTAGTGTTCGCATCAAGGCAAAGAAACCTTACTTTTATTATACATTTATCATCTTTCACCAACTTTGATAATATATATTTTATTTATTAAATTCAATGTATTAAGTAATTGGCAAATAACTTGCACTTTATTTATCATCAAAATTTTAAACAATTTTATTTTAAAATACAGATTTATAAAATAAAAACAAAATTTAAAATAGTTTTCATGAAAGAACTAACTTATTGCGATTATAAACAACAACGAGACTAAAAATATTTTTTATTTCGTGTTCACATTTTTATTAGAATATATATTTATGTATATATATAGCATGTAAATTTATCTCAATATAAGTTTTAATTGAATGAAGAAATAATAACTCGAGTATTCTTCACGATTAGATTAACTTTAACGTAGTTGTACGTCACACTTTAAAATTGAATGCTGTTTTTGTATTTTTAATTAATAAATGTTTTTATTGTTAGGAAAATTGTCAATTGATAACTTTAATTTGATTTTGTTGGATACAAAACTTATAACTTAATCATTAAAAGTTAAACGAGTTTATAAGTGTAATGGCAATCTGTTGCCAAAAGATTTAATCAAGGTTTTAAATATTTCGCCATTGGTATTATTCCGCGACAAATCGAATTAAATGTATTTGATGACAAGTCAGATGTTGAGTATTTTAAAAGCGTCATATATTCATTAAAACGTAATAGTCGATAGTCGAATTTTGGAATACAAATCAAATATCGTTATCAAAAATCATTTCCGCGATTATCATTGAACGTAGTCGTTGGCTTAAATGTGCGTATTCTTATATCGAAATAAACGATTAATTTCAATATTGCTTATTCAGACACGGCAGAGTTAACGAAAAGCGTGTTTAAACGATTCATTTCTTGTTCGTTTTTCCTTGGTAATTTGTAAATGAAAGAAACGTTGTTTACTTTTTCTTGTTTCGTGAAACTTTATAACCGACACTGAAAACCAAATAGAATGGAGATGAATTTATATAGATTGTGTACGATGAAATGTTATGTAGGTTAGTAAGTAGCCAATGGTTTATTCAACCATTGAATACATGAAATGGCGATGTGGTGAAAGCTTGCGAATGATGACCGATTATCGTAACAATTGAAAATGAATTTTCTAATGTTCTAGGAAGCTAAGTAGCAATGGGAAAGGATTACTACAAAATACTTGGTATTATCAAGGGCGCCAGCGACGACGAGATTAAGAAGGCCTACCGGAAGCTCGCGCTCAAGTACCATCCGGATAAGAATCGGGCTGCCGGGGCCGAGGAGAAGTTCAAGGAGATCGCCGAAGCATACGAGGTCCTTTCGGACTCGAAAAAGCGCGAGGTCTACGACAAGTTCGGTGAAGAGGGACTGAAGGGTGGCGCGGGTGGGGGACCAGGAAGAGCCGGAGGCCTCGGCAGCGGGACCACGTACACCTTCCACGGAGATCCGCGTGCCACCTTTGCCCAGTTCTTCGGGACATCCTCGCCCTTCGAAACGTTCTTCGAGTACGCAGGTCCGGGAGGTGGCGTTAATCGTATGTTCTTCAACGACGACGACATGGAGACCGACGACCCCTTTGGCCTCGGCCAGAGCATGAGACAAGGCTCGGTCGGGCCCGGGGGCGCCTTCCGCTCGCACAGCTTCAACTTCGCGGGACCGACGGGTCGCGTCTCCAGCAAAGGACGGACCCAGGATCCGGCAATCGAGTACGACCTCTACGTGAGCCTCGAGGACATCCTTAAAGGCTGCACGAAGAAAATGAAGATCTCGAAGTGGGCCTTGCAACCGGATGGGACGACGAAGAAGGAGGACAAGGTGTTAACGATCAATGTGAAACCAGGCTGGAAGGCTGGAACGAAGATCACGTTTCAGAAGGAGGGGGACCAGGGCCGCGGCAAGGTACCCGCGGACATTGTCTTCATAATTCGAGACAAGCCCCATCCTCTGTTTAGGCGAGAGGGCAGCGATATTAAGTATACGTGTAAGCTGAGCATCAAGCAAGCGCTGTGCGGCACGATAGTCAACGTGCCGACCCTCACCGACGAGAAGATCACCCTCAACCTCAAGAAGGAGATCGTCAAACCGACACTCGTGAAGAGGATTAGCAACTACGGGCTGCCCTTCCCCAAGGAGCACTCGAGGAAGGGCGACCTCGTTGTCTCATTCGACATTATTTTCCCGGACTCGCTGACGAAAAATGCCAAGGATATATTGTTCGATACGCTGCCGAATTGAGGAGCCGGTGAGGGCCAAGACGCGATAGCGTGAGCCTACGACAAGAGGGGTGGGGAAGGGAGTTGGTTGCTTGATGGGCCGGGGGGAGGGGATAGTGGAGGGAGGGGTTGTGGCGAGGAAAGACGGAAGGAATATGGATGAGAAAAGGGGTGCATGAGTGGGCCCGCCGTTCTCCTTCGAGCGTACACCCTCGTCTTTTGCAAAACACAACAAGGAAAGAAAACACAACCGAGTCGTCGTCGTGTCGCCGTCGTAGCCCGACAAGACTTTATCGAGACTCGTGTTTACATTGTAGCATGTAAAAATTCATTTTGTTAGTATAGTTAGTTATATGCGTTATATACATAGCGAGAGGTCGCTTGGCGAGCGCCTCGCATAGACACTTATTTTTCATATGTATTCGTAATCACGCCAATTGGATGATCGCGGGAAAGTCTGCCATTTCTGTACTTGTATGTAACGGTCGTCGTCGTCGTCGACGATGACGTCCAATCCTAGCTAGTTCTCGTTATTTCTTCGTTCGTAGCTCTTTGTACAGAAAATCCCGCGACCTTGGGTACGATAATCGAGCGAGTGAGAGTGCTTGATTATTCGGCAGCGATATTTAGCAAAGTGACTGACGATTACATTTTAAGAGTGCTAAGGTATAAGTGAACGAATATATTTGGAAATTCATGTCAGACTAATTGAGAATGATAATGATTATGATAATAATGATAGTAATGATAGATAGAATACGTAGGCAGTGAGATGTGCGTAAGTTGTTAAACGCTCATGAATGGACCTGCCTCGAGTGTAAAAGCGCGTGTACGTGTAAGTTTGCGTGTGCTTGTGCGGTTGTGCTGTGTGCCGTGTGCCGTGTGCCGTGTACCGTGTGCTCCTAAAGCACACTGGATGTGCAGAGAATATATATGATACACTGAATGCTAGTGTTCTGCGTCATACACAATATTAAAACAAAACAACTAGTGTGTATACGTGTGCGTATGTATGAATGTGTATATATACATGCATATATATGCATATTTATATATATATATATATATATGTCATGACAGGACAGTGAAAAAGGTCACGGATCGTTCAATTTATTTAATTAAATCAGCTAGTCACGAAAGATTTCTCTATCGATCTAAACAATGGTTCAGTTTACAGAGTGACTAGGAAAACTAAAAGCACACGACGATTCTTATATTAAAATACTTTGTTCGTTTCGTTTGTATCAGTTGGAGGAGTCAGTGACCCTTTTCACCGAATCGTCGATGAGCAAAGACCGATAAAAATAAAATTATAACGAATTAAAAGACAAGAAATTAACGAATGTGAGGTGCGTTCGTCAGGCTTCTTGCCTCGCAAACGCACATGCACACATACACACACAGAGAGAGAGAGAGAGATACACATGCATACATACACACACCAACACACAAACGAGATCGTAATAATTTTCGTTAAATTGTCAAAACCGTTTATTTGTACAATTATACACATTATTATTGAGAAACAAGAGATGCATTAAATTATTTGACATATTCTATACATGAAACAAAAAAAAATCAACGTCTATAGCTCTTTTCATTTATTTATCGCCAGATCTCCCAAAATTACCACTACTCCCCTCTCCCCGTGGGCCATCGTGCGTCTTCTCCCCCACATCGTACAATCACGTACGCACATCCTGCCGCCGGCCCGCCCCTCTCCACTTTAGTCGATAATCGCTTCTGCTATCCCCTCGATATACGCGGTGAGTAGCCACGACAACGCGGGGCATCCAAGACACTCCTAAAATAGTCAGCGGAACGAGTGACGTCACCGGCCACTACCTCGCAAGCGACGAGAGGAAAGCGCCCATTCGCCGCCTCTAGCGGCACTTTTGTACGCACCTCGATGCTCCCTGACCGTCGTCGCCCCAAAAGTCCGCGACACTTTTACCTCCGAAACTTTAAATAAGACGGGAAAGCCTTCTGCGAATTCGCTCGCCTACCCTTCCCACCTCCCCTCGAGCGATCGCTTAATCGCTCTGATCTCCTTAAGTTACAAGTATTGCGATTCGACGTTTTTCAGCGATCAATGCGAGAGGAAGAGGAACGGCCAATGGAGTGGAAGCAGCGACTCCCGTTCATCCTAATCGAGCGGTCGAATTTTTTGCTTTACGAGTATCAAGGTCACGCATTATATTAAAATAAAGAAAAAAGGCAGAAAATACGAGATGAGATAGGGACGTCAATGATTTTGTTTTGTTTTGTTTTGTTTTTGCTTTTAATACAATAACTTTTGATGCTTTGGTAAATAAATGATATTGCCCTCGTTATGGGTGGAGAGCAATCGCTGTTCCTCTTGCCCTATAAGTTCAAGCGCTCAATCTTAAAAATCGATAGAAATCTTATACCCCACTCTACAAAAACAAACATGATTTCATTTTATATTTAGAATATTTTTAAATATACACCTTCTGCTTCTAAAAAAAGTACCTCCTAATATTCTTCCTCGATATATTTTACCGCTGGATACGAATGGTTCGGCAGAGATAAATCGAAATATTGAACCGTAGATAACAACGGCATATATTTATTAATCGATGTACGGTGTTCATTTAAGCGCATTGTCTCTTACTTTACGATTGCAAAAATGCTTTAAGATTGATGAAATCAAATGTGTTCTTTTTCTAGCATAAATTGTTCGGTTTTATGAGTGAAAGAGAACCTATTCATGATCAACGGACCACCAGGATCGTTCATTTCATTTCTCAAAGCTTAAAATATATTGATGATAGCCTTTAGCTTTATAATCTTCTCAAGGGAGAACATTCATATTACTCTCAGCAGTATTATTAATGTAATAATTGAGCTTGTAAGTTTGCTCAATCGTTGTAACTTGCACAACAAACCGTATGATTAATTGAAACAGCTTTACTCGATTGTTAAGTATTATTTGGAATGTCAAAATAGTTCTAAGCATTCTCAATAATTCTAGATCTGCTTACATAATTAAATTCTACAATCGTGAAAAAAGACGATCGATGAGTTATTTTATAACTGTTTCTAAAATTGAAACATGACTAATGCTATTTCTTTTTCATTATTGGCAATGTAAATTATTCTACAATATACGTTTTTATGCTGTCGTGTAATTATTTCTTATACTTTTTCACTCCATTTTATCAATGTAATTTATTAATATTTGTTTTTATATCTTTTAGCCCCAACATGCGTTTATAAAAGATAAAAGATATTTTATTGCAATAGCTTGAAAATTTATAAAATAATTTTGAAATAAAATTAATATGATTATATATATATATATATATATATATTATAGGCATGAATGGATATGTGTGCGCGCGAGTGTATATACATTACGACTGCACTATGCAGTGTTTGGAATCGAAATAAATAAGCGCACAATGAAACATGCAGCAAGAATACGTTTTAGTATCTCATGAATAATTTTAAAATTATTTTCAATGTACAAGACATCGTTAAACAGCGTCTCTTACGCCATAATTGTGTATTTGTTAAAAATCAAAATATGTGCGTTGGTCATTGTAGTTTAAAGCTAATGAATAAACACAAAGATTCTATTTTATGTCTTCAATTATACGACGACAGGGCTATCGGATATCCTTGTATCAGGATTAATGTCCATTTAACTCGAATATTGGTAATGCGTCTATGATACGATTACATGGTTTTTTCAATATAAGTTCAATATAACATTTTTTACTACGTTATTGATATGGTAAAATAAACAAGCAAAACATTTTTTTTTTTTTTTAATGATAAAGAATGTATGTATGTATTGTTATAAGAAATTTCATTTAAATTAATATAAAAAAAAATTAAAAAAAAAATATCAACCAAAATTACTTATTGTAACATTTTTTATTATTATTATTATTATTTAAATTAAAATTAAGCACATATCAATAAAGTTTCTCAGAAATTCTCGAATTAATTAATTTTACACGGTTTTTCTAAACTTCATTATCAAATCATTTATATAGTAAGATATTACGACAAGAAATTAAAATAAATTGTCTATATGTTGAATATTGTATGGAATGGACTGTTGAATCCTGCAAATTCATAAGAAAGTTTAATGTTTCATTTATCATATTAAGCCTTCGTTTCGCCATTCCAGTCATTGTACCATCAAAATGCCGACAATAAAAAGTCGTCCAATAACGTATAAAAATGTTTAAGTACAAGTGTGCTACAACGAAAAAAGTGAAAAAAGTATCCGCATTGAAAGCCGAGTGCTTATTCCCCTTAAAGGATTAATTCCATAATATTCGTATCCCACTAGATGGGAATATATCATCTTTGCGAGTGAATATATATGAGCAATCCAGACATCGTGAGAATATAATCTTAAGCATTCAATTTTTAGAACGACTAAGAGCTTTAATGTGCATTAAATTTAATCTGCATTAAATGCATAATGCAATCTTAAGAATTACAATTTTAGCTCACGATGAAACATTGTACACGATTTATCAAATATAATCGACATATTAAAAATAAGTCGTATTTCAATGAGCTACTATGGATTATTAGTCATATTCTTAAACCAGCGCTCGGTAGCTACACGACACTAGAACGATAATTTTATTCAATCATCAAATTTAAGTACAAATTTAAGTTTCAATGATTTGGACAATGATGTACCTGTAGTAGTAGCATCATTATTAAGATGATGAATTATTGGCGTAAATGGATTATACTATTATGGGACAAGCGGATAATGGCAATAATCGGGATAATAAAAGGTTGAGCGCACTGATAACGATTAACGGCTTTATTTATCCTGGCACAACAAATTTACATGCACACCTACACGCAAAAACAACATGTAATGCACGATTGCCGCCGTGCTAGAACTCGGGGCCAAGCCACGCCCCTCGTCGTCGTCACCCCCCCCCCGTTCCCGCCGCCACTGCCACATCCACCACCACAATTTCCCCGTATCTATGGGGACTTTGGTATTTCGATCGCTCGCAAATATGTGCTTACGTACTCATAGGCTGTAACAATACCATAATAAGCACAAAGCCAAGGAAAGCATCGTCGCTATTGATGGTACACTCGACTGCTTGATGGAAGCGATGTATAATAAGTTGAGCGACATTGTCGGGGATTAATAGTACTTGAGCATTATTATTCTAAAAAATTGAAATGAAGCCTTTTGTTATTTCATCAATTCAGAGATGTAAAATAAATTTTTAATTTATAAACTTAGTATTCTAAATTCCAACCTACATTTAAACCTACGTGGATCATTTGGCTATTCGCGTATGGATTAGTCATGACCGAATCAATTACACAAAGGAGCGTTTCATATAATTAATGTCTTTTAAAAAAACAATATTCACGTTATGTTTACCGAGGAAAATGCATTTATTTCGATACGGCGGGACATCGGTTGCCTAAATAGATGACAGTAAATTTGATTTTCATTAATGTAAATTAAACAACTTTGGACTCGGTTTTCCCTTATTATTTTCGTCTCTCTCTCTCTCTTTCCTCGCTTCCTCCATTCATTAGCAAAACTTGTAAAATTCGGTTTGCGCTCAGCAAGCGCGTGGAGCTACATCATCGATAATATAATTTTCATGAGCTCGGGAGCAAGGCGAGACTTGCTTAGTCCTGTATGTATTTTTTTATCGAGCATTGCGTTCGATGTAATTCGAAAGAAACGGCAAGATGATAATGGCCATTATCGTTGAGCCATTAGATTAATACAAATTGCAATGCATTGGGTCGTCGGGAGGGAGAGAGAGAGAGAGAGGGGGGGGGGTGACTAATGCAAACGACCGGCTCGCCACAATTGCAGGGATGAAATCTTTAAAATTTCATTAGCACGATGAGTGCTATTGATGAAAGTCTCGTCGGATTTGTAAGAAGGCGAGTCGCGTTTTTAGTGTGAGCGCGGTGCAGCTTGAAAAATATGAGTAAAATAAAAATCAAGCCTTCGCGGGAAACTTCAGGCGACTATATGGAAGGAAAAGTCGACGAGAGACGCATGTCCAAGTGCAATAATCGTTAGTCGACGAGGATACGGTGGCGATGATGATGGTGGTGGGGGTG